TAATCTTTCCATTTGTTGTTTTAATAATGTAACAGACTTTTAAAATCTCATATTTTAACTTATTTAACCATTATTTTAAAGCCAATTTAGCTCATTTTTAAAATTAAAACTTTTAAATATTTCCAAGGAAGCTTTTGTTTTTTTATTTGTTTGTTTGTTTCCAAGCATTTTTATAAATAAAGTCAACAAATGCTTAAGTACTCAAAGATTCAAAAATATTTCTATTTCCTTTATAAATTATTGGCAATTTAACTGCATGTAGAATTCTTGAAATAAAGTTATCCTTTCAAACTCAGTTGACATTCTTCTTCTATTTCCTTTAAGAGCCTCAGGCTAGCCCAATTTTTTACTGTTTTTTCTTACAGCATTGTGTTGGGTCACTTTTGTTCTTCGTTTAATATTTTAGATTCAAATATTCATCTAGTGTAAGTGTTTTACTTGAAAGGAAATCTTTCCTTCTTTCCTCATACTTATCTATCTTTATAGATTGTCCTCTACTGGATATTTTAGATAAATGGAATCTTACTTAGTATAATGTTTTCAAGGGCCATCTATATTGTAGCATATATTAGTACTTCAAATCTTTTTATGGCAGAATTTCATTCATTGTATGGAAATAACACATTTTACTTTTGCACTTATTAGCTGATGAACATTTTTTTTTGTTTCCATGTTTTAGGCATCATAAATAATGCTTCTATGAACATCCCTGTAGAAATTTTTGTGTGGGCATATATTTTCATTTCTCTTGGGTGTATACATACAAGTGGAGTTTCTGGGTTATATGGTGACTCAATGTTTAACCACAAGTCGAATTCCCAGGGTGTTGTCCAATGTGGCTGTACCATTATACATTCCCAACAGCAGTGTATGAGTGTTCGAATTTCTCTACACCTTCACCAATTCTTGCTATTATGTGTCTTTTTATTACAGCCATCTTAGTGTAAATTAATATCTCATTTTTATTTCAGTTTGCATTTGATAACTAGTAATGTTGAGCCACTCTTCGTGCTTGCTGAGTATCTTTTTTCTTTTTTTGGAGAAAAGTTTATTCAAGTCTTGCCCATTTCTACAATTTGATTGTCCTTTGTTGTTTTGTTGTAAGAAGATTTTTAGTGCTGCGTTTTTTCTCTCATTCTTACATTGTCTTCTCACTTTGTATATAGTGTCCTTCAAAGGGCATATTTAAAATATTTTTGAAGTCAATTTATCTATTTTTCTTCTGTAGCTTATATTTTTGGTCTCTCTCTCTCTCTCTCTCTCTCTCTCTATATATATATATATATATATTTTTTTTTTTTTTGGTGTCAAAATATATATCTAAGAAACTGTTGCCAAGTCAAGAGTTCATAAAGGTTTCCTCCTGTTTTCTTATAAAAAATTTTAGTTTTATATATTTTTTACATCTAGGTTTTTGATCCATTTGAAGTTACCTTTGCATATGGTGGGAAGTATAGCTTTACTCTTCTCCATGTGGATACTCAGTTGTTACAATACCATTTGTTTAAGAGTCTATGTTCTTTCTCTATTAAAGGATCTTGGTATTCTCAATGAAAATCATCTCACCAGAGTGGTATGAGTTTACTTTTTGACTCTCAATTTTATTCCATTGGTTTGTGTTTTGTCCTTATGCCAGAATCCTACTGTCTCACTTATTGAAGTTTTATAGCATATTTTGAAGTCAGGACATGTGAGGTCTCCAACTTTGCTAGTTGTTGTTTTTATTTTTTATAAGATTTATTTGGATATTTTACATCTCTTGAAACTCCATAGAATTTTAGAATCAGATTTTTCATTTCTGCAAAAACTGTTCTCTGGGATTTTGACAGGGATTACATTGGTTTTGTACATTGTTTGGGGATTATTGCTATCTTAATAATATCATGTCAATCCATGAACATGGAAGGCTTTTCCACTTATTAGATATTCTTTAGTTTCTTTCACTAATATTTTATCACTTCAGTATACCAGTTTTGTACCATTTAGATAAATTTATTCCTACATGTTGTATTATTTTTGATGCTACTCTAATGAAATTGTTTTCCCTTAATTTCATTCTCATATTGTTTATTGCTAATGTATAGAAATACAATTGATTTTTTAAAAATCTTTTTTATAGTTGTAGAAGGATAGCATGCCTTTATTTAGTTTTTTATGTGGTGTTGAGGATCGAACCCAGTGCCTCACACATGCTAGGCAAATGCTCTGCTACTGAGCTACTTTATGCTGGTTTTATATCCTGCAATCTTATTCAACTCTTTTCTTACTTATAATAATTTTTAGTGGATACCTGAAGACTTTCTGTGTATGATATCAGGTTGTTTATGAATAGAGATGATTTTACTTCTTCTTTTCCAAAATGAATACTTTTTATTTTTTTCTAGCCCTAAATATAACCTCTCGGAAAATGTTGACTAGAAATTATGAGATCAGATTTTTGTCTTGTTTCTCATCTTAAGGGGAAAGCATAGTCTTTCATTATTAAGTACATGTGAATTTTTCATACATGTCCTTCATGAGGTTGTCTTTCTAGTTTGTTGAGAGTGTTTATTATGAAAGGGTATTGAATTTAATTCTTCCAAGTGTTTCTTCTATCCAATTTAATTTTACCATCTTTTACAAAAAAGAACTGGATAAGACGTATGAAGTCAGCTTTCTCATCATTTTATCTTTTGTTTCTTGTTATATGTGCTTTATATTCAAGTTTTTAAATTTTTATTTTTAAATAAAATGCTTTTTAAAATTCTCTTTTATTTCTTCAGTCTAAATGATGCTTTTTCTTCATATCTTGAACACTATGGTTCTCTTTCGAAAAATATTTATTTTGGCTCATTTTTTTCCCTCTATTTTTGAGCCAGAACAGGCCAATTGTTCAGTATTCAAGGTTTTGAGTGTTCTGCCATCCACCTTACTTCTTGTTGGAATGCTGCCCTGGGTCTTGATCTAGAGTGGTAATTGTAGTATAAAGGCCCTTGTCAAAGTTCTGTGTCCAACTTTCTCTAATTTAATGTGGGGCACAGGGCTGAGGACTGGTCTCCTGTTTCTAATGATGGGTTATCTGACTGTCAGCAAGAGGATTTCCCCTAGAAGCTTTGGGGAATATGTTCACATATGTGTCCCTAACCAGCCCCCACCAGAGTGCTGCCCTGGTTGCCCCTCCTGCTGCTGTCTCCTCTCAGGACTCCATCCTCAGGGACCACTGCTGTTCAGTTCCTGAGTCTAGAGGGAGCCTGAGAGTGGAGGCAGACTGCAAGTACAGGTTCAAGGGTGGCAAGAAATGACCTTAGCCCTCACCCCCCATGAAGCCCCTGTAACAAAAACCAAAACAGAAAAGACTGAGAGATCCAGAGGAGGTTGTGAATGAGGTTGACTCTTCCTCTCATCAGTAAAGGCCCTGCGTCTCTGATACCAGGCTCAGATCATCTACCAGTACTTCCTGTGCACCAAGCCCTGTTCTCAGTCCTTGGGTGCGTTTAGTGATAGAGTCCTCATAGCCCCCTCAATTATTCCATTTAACAGATCATGATACTGAGGCCCAAAATTGTTAAATAACTTTTCAAGGACACCAACTTCTGAGAGGTGAAGTCAACATTAAACATGGCCTCGCTCCAGGTCCCTTAACCACTCCAGGTGCATTTCCTACTTTAGGTACCCTTGTTCTGCTGGTCCACCCCTTGGAGACATCTGAACTGGGAATATAAATTCTCTTTAGGGACTAGCGGGTTGTGTATAACTTTGCTAGTTCCCTTTGCAGTTGGGATTTTGTGCCACTCTGGGCATTTTTGTGAGTGTTTCAATGAGAAAAATGAATCTAACCCCACTAGCAACTATCATCTTAACTCAGAAATCCTGATGGAATTCTTTGCATATAAACTTAATCTTAATGATCCTTCTTATTTTGTGGATGAGAACAAGGAAACCCAAAATGATTAGGCCACCTCCCCTGAGACATAGGACCAGGAATGGCTCAGAGGGAATGGGGACTTGTCCTTACCTAGTTTCTTCCCCACCACACTCTGCCAGGGAAACTCTCCCAGAATCTGGTCAAGTAGAAATACATCTGTCTTCCCTAACCTGCTCCCAAAGCTACATAGATCCTCAAAAGCCACAGGCAAGACTTGCTTTGATTTTATTTAGCCTGCTTTATTTCCTCTTTCACAGTAAAAATGGAATGCACACCTTTAACTGAGATTTTTCTCAAATTAGGCTGGGTGACAAATGTCTTTTTAAGCTCTCTTATTTGACATCCTATTAATTTTTTAAAACTCCCATTGTTCTCTTCCCAAAAGACCTGTTATATTTCAGATGTGAGACAAATGTACACTTAGAGGGAAACTTCTTTAATAAGCTCGTTTGCTTCAGACTACTGAGGTTATTTTAAAAACAAAAACCTAAGTACACACACCAGAATACTCAATGCATCATAAATTTATCTGGCTTATTTATTGATGGAGACTTCTGGGTTAGACTGTTATCAAAGCATAGGATAAATTGTTGAGTATGTGGCATTAATGATTCTCTTGGCATCTCCTTCCTACACAAAAAGAAGCTTTGCCGTTCTGGGGGGAGGCAGCCTCCCTTCCGGCACATGGGGGACAGGCCCTTGGAGGCAGTCCTGCCTCATGTAGAGCTCAGGCAGACTGCATTTAATTACACACGTCCAGAGTCCCCAAGAAGACACATAGATTGCAGAGACCAGGCGATGCTGCATCCCTACCAACACCAATTATGGTAAACACCAATTATCCAGACGTTAGCCCTTTAATAGAAGTCCTCTGAATTGGTTTTTTAAAGTCAGTCTCTCGTGGTGGAGCCAAGCAGGAGGAAAAAAAGACTGGAATAATTGGAGTCTGTTCTCTTTTCACTTCCCACATAAAATTATCTAAAGAGACAGGTCAGAACTTTAAACAGGAGATACCAAGAGAAGTTGTGATTTGGATGTCGGCTATTGTGACTTTAGGATGTTTGCTTGAAGATGTTCCCCTCTCCTCTCTCCACAGACGTACTTCAATGACAATATCCTCACCCTGATAAGGACCCTGGTGACCGGAGGGGCCACGCCAGAGCTCGAGGCTCTTATTGCTGAGGAGAATGCACTTCGAGGGGGCTATAGCACCCCCCAGACGCTGGCCAATAGGGACCGCTGTCGTGTGGCTCAGTTGGCTCTGCTGGATGGGCCGTTTGCAGATTTAGGGGTGAGCTCACAGCCCAGAGGACACCTGAGCACAGTGTTTGGGGAAAGCTTTTTCTGAATGAATTTGGTGTCAAACAGTGACAAACCAGACATCTGACTTTGTCTTCTCTACTATAAATAACTAAAGAGTTGACCTATGGTTTACTGTGTATCAAGCACTGGTCCTTATATGTAGTCATTCATTTTAATACTCATGACCACCCTTTGATATAGGTTCTATTTCCACACCCTCTAAGCAACTGAGGAGGCCCCAGAGAGCCTGAGAACTGGCCCTGTTAGGAATTTGCACCAAGGCATCCTGGCTTCAGAATCCACTGGGCTTTCTCATACTTTAGTATTTTCCTTAGGGATATTGTTACCCAAGTTGATGCCAGTCTGCTGCCATGGCTGGGAAACCTTCCCACAGGATCCTGGCATAGTCAGGGCTACTGAACCCTGACTCTGTTAATAGCACGTAGGGATGCCTCGCTCCGGACCTCAAGATCAGAGTTTTTGATGAGCCTCAGGCAGTTTTCAAGGCACTCATGCATCCATGTGCATCCAGACCCCTGGCCAAACATTGTTTCAAGTGGATCCTAAATGCTTCTGATTCAAACCTAGGTCTTATACTTCCTTAGACTGCACCTGTCACCCTCTGCCCTGCCTTCCCTGTGACTGACAGGACCAGCACTTGTCTTTGGGTGCTAGGCACCAGCTGGCACTGTGCACTTTAGCAGGAGTGTGCACTCTGTCCCCACCTCATTCCTAACCCACCCCCATGGAGTGGTTGGAGCTAGGAGTCTTAGGAAACTATAGCCTGTTGCATAATCAGTAGTGTTGCCCAGAAAGTCGAACAGTGGAAAAGGAGTCAAGAAAAGCATTTTTAGTTTTTTTCTAAAATATCAATGTCTAGTACTTGTACCATATTTTAGTTTGTAAGGGTCTGGGACTTCAGTTAGACTGTTTTGTTTTTTGTTTTTGTTTTTGTTTTTGTTTTGAAAGGGCACTTCCATAAATAGTGGCTTGTTACTTCTCATTTATTTACTGATACATTCAAATAGGATGGAGACTGTAAACAATGGTAAGATTGGGCCCCACTTTTATTCTATAATATGATGTCCCTATGGAAATTCCAGAGATAGGAAGGATAAATACAGTCCCTTTCTGCCAAGTGAAGCCATTCTGCAGTGTCCTTCCTGTAAAGCCCACCTGGAGCCACCTGGCTGCATGAAGCCAGCGTTTCCAAGTGAATGCATTTGCTCTCACTTTCCGAGTCAGGCTCCAGACCATGTGAAGGTGGTTGTGAACTGATTAGAACTGTGAATTCCAGTTATTCTTCCTGCAGACCCAAAGCTCCTGGGGAAACACATTCTCTTCCCCCTTGCCATCGCCATCTCTGAGGTCTGCAAATTGTGCTTTTCACACAGTCCTTACCTGAAAGAGTCTGTCACCATTGGACCTGTTGGGGTCTTTTCCCCTCGCTGTGATTCCCATTATCACTTGGGCAGTTTTGACAACATGGGATCCAATCACAGTTGCCATGGCTGAGCTGGGGGCAAAATGTAATCACTGTTTTGCAGAGCTGGTTTCTTCTCAGTTGAACATACATCGGAAACCTTCAGCTTTACACCCTCAAGGGAGAGGCATAATCTCTTTAGAGCTCCATTGCTACAGATGGAAAAAGGGGAGGGACTCCAGAAGAAATACCCACTATTATCTGATCCTAAAATTACCCTTTTCAGCTGTAGGCAGTCAACTGTGTGACTTCTTCAGCCAAAGTCCCTTGGCCCAGACCCTCTGCTTCATGGGACGACAAAACAAGCTTTTATGGAAAGACTCTTTCCCCCCTGGACCTTAACTTCCAAGCACATAAAAATGATTTTTCTCTCTGTTCTCCCAGGATGGTGGTTGTTATGGTGATCTGTTCTGCAAAGCTCTGAAAACATATAATATGCTTTGTTTTGGAATTTACCGGCTCAGAGATGCCCACCTCAGCACCCCTAGTCAGTGCACGAAGAGGTGAGTGTCCTCCTACTCTGCTGGCCCACCTGATACAGACACACAGGTGCCCTCCTCTCCCCTGTCCCCTAACATGTAGGCAAAGGATGCATACATACTCTCCACAGGCAAAATACCCTTCCCACGTAAAATCTGACACTTAGTTTGGAAGTTATGGGAAACATTTTTCTTTACTTAATAGTGGATGTGAAGACATTGTGGAAAGAACTCACATTTTTTAAAATAGTTGTCATCCAATCACAAAAATCAGAACAGAGGCATCTCCCTCAAACTCAAGCTAATGGAATCAACTCTGTTGGTAGCTAATATAGAGATACTTCCACATTGCCAGTGTTTAAGAAAGATTCTTGGCTGTATCTTAGAATCCTCTATGTTTGTTTCATATATTTTTAATTGACTATCTTTTACATTTTCATATATTTAATTTGAAGAAGAGTGTATAACATTATCTTAAGCAAAAAAAAAAAAACAACAGTTTAGGTGTGCTAGTTATAAGCATTAAAATAAACATAGCTGGCAAAAACTAGGAGTGCATCCTAGAATTAACCAAATCAATGAGTTTGCATAATACACCCCAAGAAACAATGCTATGGAGTTGTTTCACAACCCTGTATTTTAGAATCACCCAGAGAGCTTTTAAAAACTACTCTGAGGGGCTGAGGATGTGGCTCAAGCGGTAGCGTGCTCGCCTGGCATGCGTGCGGCCTGGGTTCGATCCTCAGCACCACATACAAGCAAAGATGTTGTGTCCGCTGAAAACTAAAAAAAATAAATATTAAAAAAAAATTCTCTCTCTCTCTCTCTTTAAAAACAAAAAACTTATTAAAAAATAAAATAAATAAAAATAAAAACTACTCTGACTCCAGGGAAAACATAAATGCATTCAGACTTTAATATATATATTTATATAGTGAATGCCCAGGAATTATAGCATAGAGCCAGAGTTGACAACTGGGGTAGAAAAGTGGGTTCCCAAAGTTTAGGGAGCCTGAGAATCACCTACAGAGCTTATTAAGAACAAATTGGTGGGCCCCACTCTCTGATTCAGGAGATCTGGGTGGGGTTGCTTAAGAATTTGCATTTTGCAGTGGTTTCCAGGTGGTGCTGACCTGCGTGGCCTGGGAACCACAGTCTGAGATGGCTGCTCTAGAGGAACCATAATGATTATTGCAGTCATTCTGATGTGGACTGGAGAAGTCTGATGGAGGAGAGCAATGAAACAGAGTTGACAGGCAGGAAGGACTTTTATATTCTTTCCTGCAGTAAAACTCCCACCAAGTTGATTTTTCAAAGATGAGAATGGTCTAAGGATACCCTAGGCAATGGTAGCGCAAGCACCTGGGAAGTATGCCTGAGATTGTCAGGAAATTCTAGAAAGAAAGTTGCAGTGCAGTCTGTGACCTCTGCTGCATTTGGGTTACTCAGGATTAGAAGTGGAACTTGACCTCTTCTGGCCATAACAAGCACAGTTTTGTTCTTCCATTACCTGTTCTAATTTGGTGTCTGCCTGGGCTTGTGGATATGGCCACCTCTGATAAGTTAAACAGAGAACAATTTTTTTGAACTTGGAAGCAGATTTGAAGGTATTAGATCAACTGCAAGTACAGCTCTTAGATCCTCTGGTCAACTTGAGCAGCAGGCAGTGCTTTTGGGCTCAAGGGGTCTGGACTTCTCCACCAGATCACCCTCAGGCTGTGACATCTCTGCTTTCCCTGTCCAGGTATGTCATCACCAACCCCCCGTATGAGTTCGAGCTTGTGCCGACGGACCTGATCTTCTGCTTAATGCAGTTTGACCACAACGCCGGCCAGTCCCGGGCCAGCCTGTCCCATTCCTCCCACTCATCACAGTCCTCCAGCAAGAAGAGCTCCTCTGTTCACTCCATCCCATCCACAGCAAACCGGCAGAACCGGCCCAAGTCCAGGGAGTCCCGGGACAAACAGAAGTACGTGCAGGAAGAGCGGCTTTGATATGTGTATCCACCGCCACCATGTGTGAAACTGTATCTGCCACTCATTTCCCCAGTTGGTGTTTCCAACAAAGTAACTTTCCCTGTTTTCCCCTGTAGTCCTCCCCCTCCCTTTTTTTACACATATTTGCATATGTATGATAGTGTGCATGTGGTTGTCATTTTTATTTCACCACCATAAAACCCTTGAGCACAACAGCAAATAAGCAGACGGACCAAAAGTTATTTATGATTCTAGGGGAAAAATAACCCAAAGGCATGCTCCAGACATAAATAGCTCACTGCAGGAATGAGTTCACAGATTAGAAAGGAGCACTTGTGATCAAAGTCAGTTAGGCAAAGCAAGTTTATTTCATATACAAGAAAAGTTTATTCTGATTTATCAGGGTTATCAGGGTGCTTTGGGTTTTGATTTTTTGTTTTCCTTTTGTTCGCTCATTCTTTTTTTTTTTTTTTTTTTTGTACACACACAATAAGTTATCACATGTTTATTTGAAGCAAGCAACCAAAAAGCAATGAAAACGTATCGATTGTTTCTACTCTCTGGGCTGAAGTATTGGGAAGCATCTGAAAAGCTGTCATGGTTTGTGTAGATGATTATTAAGCAGCTGCTTGTTGCAAGAAAGCATTGGAGGTTTTTTGAGTTACTCACCAAGGCCTTTTGTCCCAGAGCTAGAAGCTTCCTTTGGGAGTTCATATGAACATTTCTAATGTTAATACAGAGGAAAGGAGTAATATTCCACTTGTGGATGTATCAAATTCTAGTCATTTAAGTGAAAAGAGGTTTGATTGCATATTAAATTGTTATTCTGTCTCCTTATGCTGCCATATGAATAGCTATTTTTTTCTTTCACTTTTGACATTTGGGATGAAAAGCCATATGTATCATAAATATCAGATGTAAGTCATTAAAAACTGCCTTCCTGGGACTTTTACATCTTTTAAAAGGTGAATTACTTACCTTATGTACAGAATAAATAATGCTTAGGAAAGAGCAAGTATTTTTCCATGCATTCTCAGGGGACCTTTTTACTCCCCTTTGTTTGGTTAGTAAGAACCCCAATGCCAGGTAGGAGCGAGGGCTGGGGTGATAGTGGAGTGAGAGGGAGAAAAACCCAGCAGCAGAGAATGTTTTTGTCGGAAATGACATGCTAAATAAATTAAGATGCAGAAGGATCAAGCCACCTTGGCCTCAACAAAGACAAAAGCCAGTGGCCACCTAACATTGTTGGCATAGCTGCATGATGTTGGCTATCCCCAAACATAAAGATGGTAGGGAGAAATTCCTCATCCTCCAGTTCATTAACAGCCAATTCACTTAGGCAGGTGGGTGACAATAATAGCTGCTCCTTGTCATTACAAGATGGGGAATAAGAAAAGTACAACAGTGAGCCAAACACATTTTGGTACAGTTATAATTTTTTGTTTGTTTTCTTTCTTTAAAAAAAAACAGGAAGCATGGGGGAAAGGAAGAGAAATATCCTTCTTCCAACATAAAATTGTCAGATGTTTTAGGCTTGCACATCACACTTTAGGCAATGAAGTTGTTCTTAAAAATTGGCCAACTCTACCACAACCAAATTCTCCTATGGATGGTCTGGCACTTGGCTGGTATAAACCTATTTGAGCTTTTTACTTAAAAAAACAAAAATCCATTGACTAGAATAGGGGTAGAAAGGAGAAGACAAATGTCACAACTGTACCATCTCTGAAAAGGTGTTTTTATGGTGAATGTTTGGGGTTTAGATTTTGAATCCCCTGCCCCTTCCAGCATGATAGTTTTGGAGATTTGCTTGCTGTGTGGATTGACAAGCACTTTTACTGACAAAATGGTGAGGCTCAGCCAGAACCTCTACCTCCCCGCACCAAAGACAGGGGCAGAGCAGCATTTAAACCAGCTATCGGGTGGGGAAAAACTGTATACATGTATATTAAAAAGGGCTATGAGTGGAAGAATTTTTTTTCAAATGATTTTGTCCCTATACATTTTGATTTATATGTTACGTATAATTATCTGTTTATATATAACTATATATATATGCACATATATATATATATATATATAACTATATATACATATCCCCTAGTTTGGGATCATGAAGAACTCTTCATGCATTCTTTGCAAAGGAGGTTATAAAGTTACACCCTCAGAACATTTATAACTATAAGAATGTGCCAGTTAAAGTGCTCAACAGGAAATATGACAGTTTAAAAGCATTGTAAAACTCACATAGCTTACTTCTCTCTCTAAAGTGCAACAAGGATGAATAGAATGGGCCAAGGTATGACAATTAATGGTTCTGCATGACCTAGCCACTGCTGGGGGTTTTCTTCTATAACGTTGTCCTTGTGAAAAATTTTGTGAAATTAAAAAAAAAAAGGAGTTACAAATTTTATTCTGTTATTGGTTTGTTTATTTTTATTTATATTGTTCTGTTTGTGGTTTTATTTATTTTGTTTTGCTTTTGACCCCCTCCCCCCCCAGCCCTTTTCCCCTCTCCTTCTTTTCCCCCTCCTTCACTTTCTTCCTTCACCTTCTTAATTGCTCAGCGCAATGAGGCTGTGCGGCTGCTATGGCTAGATTCCTTAGAGTTTGTCTTGGTGTTACTGGGTTTGGGGTTGGGTAATTTGGGGGGACCTCTCTCCATCTGGCTTGCCTTCGAATCTGCACGTGGCCTCCCTGCCCACCTTGGTACCTTGCTCCAAGTTCAAAAGCATTTTCCCATTGAGACACCCAGCTTCCTCCACTCCCCCCCATTACCACCACCCTAACCCAGCCCCCATCAGTCTGTTCACATCTCTGTGTTTATCTTGGCAAAAACTACCAAATTGAATGATGATGCCAGTGGATAAACTTTTCTGGAAAACATTCTCAGCTATTCCATTTGGCAAACTTACTTCTCTGTTAATATTTTCTCCTCCTTTTATTTAAACCAGGAGGGTCATTAATGGCAAAAGCATTGTTCTCCTTTATGTTTGATAGATACGATGACAGTTAAAACTGGTCAGCTGTATGGTCAATTCGAGAGCCCATACCTCATTAACTGGGGCTGATGACTCATTCTCGCTACTACCCAAGTCTCCTGCCACCTGCCTTTTGGGTGTGTTAAATTCCAACCAGAAATTGGGCAGATAGAAGTAAATGCAAAATGTATCCCATGTATAATTCTTCAGCAGCTCTGATGAGTTGATATTGATATTACTGGAATGGGAACAGACTGAGATGGAATTTGGGGGTTTTCCTTGGACTTTGGACACACAATTCCCACTGTTAGATACTTGAAAAATGACCATATATTGATAATAACATATTTGATGTTGGAAAAGGGATCATGATTGCTTTTTCTTCTACTTCTTTTTCTCTTCTTCTTCTTCTTCTTCTTCTTCTTCTTTTTTAGCTGAAATTTCTCTGTTATACTTTGTTTATTAGAGTGAAGACTCCTTCATTGTTTTCCATTTGTCCCCAAACTTCCCCTTCCTCTCAGGAGAACATTGTTTACTTAGGAAGGAGGCATACGAGTGTCTCATATTATGCCTGTCCCCTCACCCCTCCTCACCAAAATAAATAAACAAATAGGTAAGAGTAGAAAGGGAAAGAGTTCTTAGCAGGGAAATTATATGCATTATAAAAGAACAACATCTAGGAACTCAATGATGTGTCCAATTCTAAAAGAAAAATAATGTGTGAGCCATTCAATCCAATTTACTAACTCTTTGAAAGAGGGAAAATGTTAAGGAAGCTGGTATAATAGGACACAGGGAACCTTTGTCAGCCTCAGCACCCTGAGAACCATAGAGCCATCAACATCCCTTACGACTACTACAGGGTCCTTCCCCAAACCAGTTCAAATGTGTTCTTATGCATATAAATTTCTACCACTAACTGGGAGAAGTTGTAAACTCTGTTCTGAATATTTTATGTTGTGACCCAGAACCTTATAATAGCTGCTTAATAAGTATTTGAAAATAATTTGACCTTAAAGATTTTTATACCTTTAACTATTTTATAACTTATGCCTGTACCCTTGGCTTATCTTTAAAAAAAAAATTACAAGGATTGCCTGGAGGAGCTTCACAATGCTTCTCTGCCCATGTCAGTTTCTCCAGCTGGGTATGACTTCCAAGACAGGGAACAACCCTGTAAGCTCAGCGAATGGAAAGACAGACTGTGCCTGTTGGCAGCATTGTCAAGATCCCAGATGACCATAAAAACCTTTTGACTGGCTCTTCTTCAGCATGGGAAAAGCCTAAAGGTGTCTGCATCCCAATAGAGACAATTAAATCAACCTGCCAGGTTCCTATAGCAACAGGCTCCTTGAAGGAGAATCGGGAGAGTGTAGAAACTTCAGGGACTGTGGAAGTCAAGACAGGGTAAAAATCAATTCTCCATCAGCTTCTTTCAGCCTCTCCCTGCTTTGTCATAACATGATAAAGAAGTAGCTGTGGGCACCTGTCACTAACTGGTTGACTGTCTCCCAGGCAGAAATGGCATATTCGTTGCAACCATCACAGGTGAGAGGGATTATTCCCTGCCACCTGAGAGCAAAGAGTGAAGGGTCTGCCCTCAGGGTTTCAACCGGACCAAGGGCCAGAGAGGAGAGTTGGGAAGGGGCCATTGGCTCTGCTCAGTGCATGGCAGAATTAGACTGTGAGTTAAAAGAGACAGATAGAGTCATCATGGACAATTGCAGAGAAATAAGATAAACAGAAAATGCTCTCTTTTTGGTAGACAATTTTTCATCTCTGTGAAATAGCCATGTTCTGCCCAGGCAGAGGAAAGGAGGTGTGTGTGGGGGGGTGGATTTGGGCGGGGGCATCAGTTAGGTAGGCGGGGGAAGAGCACCAGACTGCCTGTCAGCAGTGTGAACTGTGAAGCTGCACAGCGTTGCCCTTGAATTTGGATTGCCTTGTTAGCCCTTATAGTTCTCCACCGTGATCTCCATCCAGATGGAATCTTTTCCTTCCATATCTTTGCTCTGTAAACCCCAGCTTGTGGTGCACCAAGGAGAGGGCCAATTATTCCAAATGCCTTTGCTGTGTCATTGTCTCCCTCTTTCTTCAGTCTTCCTTGGGAAATAGTTCTGTGAAAAGGCTAAATCCCACAGCGCTGACAACCCACAGAGCCAGCAGAGGGTTCACTGTGCAGCTTGTGTCTTTCTCTGCTGCTGGTATTATCCCAAGCAGCTCAGCCTCCTCTCCATATCCCACTCTTCTGGTTCTTGGTGGATATGCAGTTGTATGGCAGTAGGAAGCCCTGACCTTATTTTGAACCCTGTGATCTCAGGGATAACACTAGTGATAGGAGGTACAGATGGCTCTCTGGTGGGGAAGAGTGTCTGTCACCGGAAAGTCAATATTTCAAAGACAGAGAAACCTCAGAAGGGTTACAGCCCTGAACACTCCCACATAACACAGGTTACCCCTTCCTCTCCTTCACCTTCCAAATGGCTGCCCATCAAATCCTCCTGTGTCATCTCTGTGGCCACAGCCACATTCATCAGGCTAGCACCCCAATTTGCACACCATATTTCTCTACCCCAGATTATCTGCTGAAGACTTCATTTGTAATTGCATCCAAAAGATACAACCCGTCCTTATCTCCTCCTCCATCACTGACAGTACTCATTAGTGCCAACCTTATGCCAAAAGCTGATGCCCAGCGGTTGCCAGGGGCCAGGCACTCTTCTCTAGACTTCATGCATATTAGCATGTTCACTCTTCTCCCTCAGCACAGACGGAGGTGCTGCCAGACTCTCTACTGGACAGGTGTAGAATCTGCAGGACACGAAAGTCTGTGAAGCTGGCCACTGTCATAACATGTCCCTAACATTCTTGAAAATGTTCCCAGCCTTAGCATCTCACATTCACTTACCACATAGCTGGGCCTGTGGGGAGGGCTTTGTGGACACCAGTTCCATTGATCTTTATGATAACTTTGGCAAGGTTATATTTTGCACCCTGTTCTGCAGCACAGAAATGATGCTGAGATAAACAACACAATAACTTGTTCAGAGCCATGCAGCTAGCTCGTGTGAGAGCCAGGTCCACTTGACTTTCACCTGCTCCCTGACACCTTTTTCCTGCCAGCTCCTCATGGAGTGTCCATGGTGGACAGCTTCTGGAATAGCTAGTCTGGAGAGGTGTCTTCTCCCAGTGATCATGTTGATGACCATTACCGTGTGTCCTCTGAGGCATCTTTTCATCAAAGGTCTTGACATTTTAGCAGTTATTGTCCCAACTTCATTTTTGTTATGCCAGTCCACTTGGCAATAACTAGGAGATGCAATTCCCTCCCTAACTCCATTAACCACCTGTGAGAGAAAGCTCCTGGCAGGTCACACATCGAACTGAGAGTGATGACATCATCCATCTCATCATCAAGAAGCTTATGGACAGATGGCACTATTTTCTTCTGACAATAAAGTGGCCCTCACAACCAGGTCAATTGCCCTCAGAGATGAAAGGAAGCACTCAAGGATCTTCCTGGCACATGGGAAAAGGCAGAGAGTGGAGAAAAACTCAGGGATTTGGATTTATTCTTGACCATGTCAGGCCTTACTTGAACTCCTTATCTTAGTCCTCTTCCATGTGGACAATTCTGTAGGTAGAGTTTCTTCTTTGGAAGGCAAGATTCAATAAGCCAAACTATCACTGTCATACTCAATGCACTGTCCACTGAAGCCGAGTAGCTGGCACCCACTTCCACACACGTTCTTCTGAAGCTCTTCTGGGGGGAGGAGGCATGTCTTCATGAAGGACCTTTGCCACCAGACATTCAATTTCCTCAGCATCCATTTTAACCACAAATCTACACACACACACACACACACACACTCTCTTACATCCTAAAATCATCCCAATGAAACAGCTGTTTCTCAGGCATAGAGAAATTCACCTCTTGACTGGGAGGGGCTTTCACATCGCCCCTTTTTTGTGCTGAGGCCGCAGGGTCAAACACGGGGGCTACTTTGTTTATATTTTATTTATTTATTTATTTTTAGGCAAGACATTTAAAAAGAAAGAGAGAAGAAGCTTAAATGGAGAAATAATGCTCTCTTTCTTGCAGGCAGCAGAAGGAAATTGATATTCTCTCTGCGGTGAAAGGCCAAAATGCCATCTTTGAAATTGAACTGTAAAGACTAAATTCTGAACAATTATTCTCTGCAGCAGTTGTAAAAATTTCAGCAAATTGCAGCTGTCTTTGGTCTTTCACCCAAAAGACCTCCTCGTTTCCATCAGCAGAGTTCACTCTTCCGACCTGGCATGTCCAACCTAGCACTAAATCCCCTTACAAAATCATTTCACATAACAGGACAGCCACAGCCAACGGCAGCTCAGGAAAACAGAGCACAAACACCAGACTCAACTCCAAACATCATCTTTACACATAAACCGTTTGAAAAAGTCGTAGTTTGAAATTGTTTCAGAGGCCTGGCAATGCTTTTAAAACATGATAACCATCACACTTTACTCTTCTCTGAAAGGTTAGTTTAATCGTAGATCACAAAAAATTGGTTTTCACAAATGCATAATGGTTCATCTATGTCACACTTGAACTAAATGGTTTTTTAAATGGAGCTGAAATTATTTTGATGTGTACACAGTCCTGGATTTCTATACAACCTTTTTTAACCAGCCCATCAGGAGTCTTGCCTCTAAAGCCTCATTAATAATTCAGATGTGCTGATGACTTTAAAAGATCTATGGAATTGAAGCTTAGGAAAAAAAAAACTCTGCTTGACAAAAAGATAAATGAATGTAGAAAGAAGCTGTAGGAGTCTGGCAAGCTGTAGATCATCTCAGAACAGATTGTAACTTTATCATTCTGTCAGGGGGAATAATTTAAAGCACTTAATCAGTTAGCTTCACTGTGAGGATGTAGCATTATGAATTCCTATCGTCCAATCTGTTCAAATCAAAGTGAACTTAATTATAATAGGTGAGAGAGCCAGAGCAGGAGGGGGGTGTGGGGAGAACGATGCAAGAGGTAGCAAGTGTCCTGAGGGGTAAACTGAGCTGTTGAACAAAGGGGAGTGAGGCTTTTACCCAGGCACACCCCAGCTCCAGAGATGGCCGCCAGGGCTCAGCACACTGGAAATACCAAGAGTGTTGTCCAAGGAGAAGTGAGTAGAGTGGCCATGAGCTGATCATAGATGCTTAATTTATAAACTATCAGTCAAGCGCGCACACACACACACACACACGCCAAGCCAGTAGCCATTTTTATTGACATATTAGTCCAGAACCAGAACCACTGAGAAGGCAGTTGCGAATTTTTCTGTAGGCAGAGGAGGAAATGGGAGAGGCCATTGTCTCCAAAGCAGTGAGTGTGCCTGAAAGCTTTTTCCCTTTTTCTTTCCTTTCCCTAAGCCACTAAAATGAAGCATAAGATTCCCCCATGTTAGAATGTCCCATTTGACCAGTCCCTTCCTATTTATCCACATGGACAGTTTCCCAGAATATTTCAATCCTAGAAAGAGGCAGGGATGAGAGTGGAGTTTTGTGAAAATTGCACGGCTCTGCTAAGAGGATGCTAGGCCACTTTTCCTTTCACCCCAGCCCCCAACACCCTGACTCAGCAGTCTCCACTCCTGTGCTCAGAAATTAGATGCCAAGACTTCATCCAGCTCCCTTGTTGATGGCTTGGATTATTAGAGTTGGTTAAGATGGTGCCACTTGGAACACTTTTCATAACTTTATACCAATACAGAGTTCACATTCTTGAAACAAAAGCTATCTCAAAATATTGTTTAAAACACTGGTTGCTATTCTGGTTTTTCACTCTCATTGGCCAGCAAATTCTGTGGGCTTCCTTTGCGAACCCCAAAGGTGGCTGCAAAAGAAACAGAAGGGGTATAATTGGCATATGCCTTTCTGTTGGCTTATTATAAACAAAAGGCTGGGAAGAGGCAATGCTGCAGAAGATTCTAGATCATTTGCTCTGCAGCAGAGATGATATCCCTCTGCTCCATCCAATAGATGATGCACAGATCTTTCCTCAGGCATGATGTCTATACATGATATCTGATATATGCAGCATCTCCTCCCCGCCGAAGTTTTCCAGGCCACTAAAGTAACTCCAGAGAACATTACCAGAGCTCATCTTCCAATCCCTCCTCATTCTCTGAGGTCCACTCATGGTGCCTCCTAGTCCCAGTGGCACATCTTGTTCCTCACCTGCTACAGAAAGCAGAGGTATGTTTCAGGTCTTGGGGTCCTGCCTACACTGCACTCTCTCTCTCAGCAATTACTCACTGGCAGCTTCTATTGATTATCTTTTGCATTTTTCAATGAACTTTCCAAAAGCTTTACCCTAGGACTAATTAAGCTTCTCATTTCTCCTTCTTGTTCTCTATCCATTTTGCCCTTTAGCAGAAAAGAAATGGTTTACAGATGAACCGGATAATGCCTATCCCAGAAACATTCAAATCAAGCCCATGAGTACCCACATGGCTAACCAGATCAACCAATATAAATCCACAAGCAGCTTGATTCCTCCAATCAGAGAAGTTGAAGATGAATGTTGACTCCCAGGAGACCAGAACTATTTTTTTAAAGCCTGACAAACTTCATAAATGGTGATGTGACTTTTCTTCCTCCTACATGCTGACTCACTGGTGGAGATGTTAGGATAAGCAAGAATTGCAAGAAAATAAAGTAGAAAGATCTTTCTCTTTGTCTGCCTTGAATATTGCTTCCATGTATTTTGGAAAAGAAAATGATTTCATTTATAAATGAACATACTAAAATAGTCATGTATAGCCTCTAGTATTTTAAATTATTTTTATTTATTAGAAAGAAAATATATTTTTTCTTTTTTTCCCCATTGTCAGATATCTTCCCTATATCAAAACAATGCAAAATCAAAATGAATGAGTGGCCAGACTCCTTGATGCCTATTTCTCTTCTTTCTCTCTTTTTCTTTGAGGAGAATGATGGTCACTACCACCATTAATTATAATTAAAGGGAATGGATTATTAAAACAATTTTAAAATGGTCAACAGTGTATACATGTATTTTAGTAAATCCAGAAAAGAGGACAAAAGAGGGTAGGTAACTACCTGCTCCTCTCCTGGATGGGTGTGTATTTGGATCTGCATTGACACCAGCTCTTAATAAATGGAAACTTATTTATTTTCACAATTGAAAGTAAAATTTTTGTAGTTTTAGTTTTCCTTCTGTATTTCTCATCCCTCTGTTCATATATCTAAAGTGAAGACCTTCTTCCAGCTCTTCTATGATTTCCAGATCAGATTTAGCCAGCCAATTATACTGGGAAGGTTGGGCCTGCCTGGGATGTGGAAGTTGAGATTCACTCAAGACATGGCTCTGTTGGTTGTTCTAATAGTGGGGACTCCTACACGTTGTTCTGCTTCTCATTTCATATTTCCAAACCACATGAGCAAGTAATTTCAACTTTGGGTGCAGCCGGTGAACTTTCTTTCCCACCCTAAGACTCAGAGCTTTTAGCCTGAAAGTTTGTAAACACTAATGAGCAGTAGTTTCAAAAATAGAAACTCAGAGGCACTCATTTTTCTCATTGAGTATTTTTTTTTAAAGCCAGAAAAATTCCATGACCAAGGAGGCAACTTTTGACCAGATTTTAATCTATTTATTGGCTTTTCAGATTTAGTTACTAGGACAAAACACACAAACTTGCTAACATGATTTTTAAAATAACAACAAAAAGGAAAGCAACAAATGCACTTAACATAGACTGTTAGAAAAAGGCCTTTGAAAATTACCAGCAATGAAATAAAATGTATCAGCCACTGCAAACGGTGGTCAAAGATTTTTCTAGCCATCAGATGCAATCATGATGTCTCAGAGCTCTGCTGTCACTTGCATGCTCAGTGTCTAGATGCCACCACCACTGTTCTGTTCCAACAACTCAGCAAGTGTCTCAACTTCAAAATTATCCATCTTGCATATGCTCATCAGGGTCTCTGGAGAAGCATGAATGTGATAGTGATTTTAATTTTCTTAAAAATGTAAACTGTGGACACTTAACCAAAATAACCAAAATTTCCTTTAAAGTCCCATGATATCTATTCCATTCACTCTGTAGGTCATGACCCTGTGGTACCTAGTGATGGTAGTGCAAATCAGATCAGAGCAAAGCAATGAGATCACATGAAAACATATGTCCACTGAGTACTCCAATTACCAACGTAGGCAAAATGAGCTTCCACCTCTGTCCACTCCCTGCAGAGCCAATCTAGTTGTGCTTCCACGTCGTAGGCATCGTCCTGCAGTGACTTGTCAGACTGTGGTTACTCTGTTGTCACCTTTCGTAGAATTAGTTCTATAAAAGTATTGTGAATATAACGTACGTCCAATTGGATTGTTAAAAAACTACTTATAATCAATCACTAGTCAGCAGACTAAAATGATGTCAACACACTATATCCAGGCTTATAAACATTTCCTGGTTTCCAACAGAAGTCAAACATGTTCCTGGGGACAATCCCCTGCTAGATAATTGACAGCTTTCCTGAAAGCTAGGCCTTCTTTTACATAATGATTTTTGCAATGGGGTCACCTTAGTACATTTGCACGTGCACGCTCTTCTTTCCTTCATGAACCGTAGTGGGCCCTATTTCACTCTTGTTCCTAATCACCACCTCTGAATGTGCTGTAGCTCATTGGTCTCCTCTGGCAGGCAAGGGTAACCATTGAAAGAATCTTCTATTAGAGGAATATGGGGCAGAGTGCTCCATGTAATCCCCTCATCCCTGCCCCTTCATACCTAGGAAGGCTGGAAACAGAAGTGTAAACTCCACTCTAAGTCAAGTCCCCTTATGTATAGAGATTTGAATCTAAACTTTAAAAACGAAACAAAACAAAACAAAAAAACCCATAATGGCAAAAATAGCTTCCCACGGTGAAGGGCTCCTTGGTTCATCAAGCATCCTCCAAAACCAAGGTGGTAGAAATACATTTTCTTCTAATGTAGAGCAATAAGTTCATGCTGTTTCACCTTTAGATAATGAATTGCACTGGGCCAGAAAGCAAAAGCAGGCATTTCTTTAAAAAAGAGGTATGGGCAAAATCTATAGGTAGTGGCCCCTTGACAAAAATTGGCACCTGGTAAGTTGAAAGTGAAATGGAAACAAAAATAAAATCTATAGCATCCCTAGGGTGCTCAAGGAAATACCTTGATTTATATGTCTGTTGAGTTCTTTGTCCCTGAGCCCTCATCCATCTGTGCTGTGAAAGACTATCTTGCCACCTACATCCACCTGAGGCCAGTGGTGATCTTCTTTGGCATAGTCTTTGCTATAGGGATCTGATCTCCCATCCCAGTCCAGGGTTCCAGAAAAGCCATTTTCTCAAACTAGTACAACTTGGGTTCTTGGTAGTCAGACTCACCAACAGGCTGTTTATAAAGCAAAAAACCTACCTAGAAGTTCATCTGAACCAGCATCACCTTTATCATTGAGCGAATAATTATTTTTCTAAGTTATTTTATATTTGAGAATATTGTTTTGAACCAATATAAAACACATTAAATAAGAGTGTGACTAATGCATGTTGGGGAACACTCAGGAGTGCCTTCCTCCTAAGAGTTATGACATCTTAAGATATACTTTATAAAAAAAGAAATTGATGGAAGAACACTTCAAATAAACAAAGAATTATAGCTGCTTGGTTGGGGTTAGAAAGGGGGCAAATGAGAATCCATATAAAATTAGGGACATTTTCATGTGGGAAGCAAATGTGTCCTACTGATAGTCTCAGGGTTCAAGAGCAACATCTGCATAAAACTAGTTATGAACTTTGAAAATGTATTTTAAGCTTCCCAAGTCTCAATGACCTTAAAATGAAGGTAATTCATAGAGATGGCTCCAAGGTCCTTCTCGGATCTGAGAGGTCATGATCTAAAGTAGGAGTGGGATCATAGGAGGGGCTGCCTGTCCTTGTGCAGCCCCTTGGAGTCAATCTTGTCCAGGGTTGTACAGGGTTGGATGGTCCATCCAGCTATATCACCCATGTGGAATTCCTGACCTGAAGATAGTATATGTTTTCTGCTCTGGACATAGGCTGGTCAGGTTCATTCCTATGCTTTCAGTTTGGAAGACTGTTAGATTCAAGATGCAAAATTATAAGTTCAAATTCACCTGAATTGCATTGATCCAATTGTTCTGCCTGTTTCTAGGGTTGCATTCTCAATCTCATCCCTACCTTCCCTTTCCCTTGGTTCAAGGCCCAGTTTTGACTAATTCCCTCATATCTAGCCCACACCTCCAATGTCCAGTATGTAGTTAGAGATTTGAGACTCCTCCAATTCCTGACATTATGCCTATTTATGTTTTCCCATGTAGATCTGGGCTTCAGGAAGTAATCAGTCTTACTCCTCATTTAATTTCCTCTGTATTTGATTTTTTTCATTAATATACCAAATATCTCTTTGTAATTTTGGTCTGTCATTTTAATTGTCAAAGAGAACCTCACTGAAAGAATGAAAGACTGAGAAGAGGAAGAAAGATAGAAAGAGAGAAAAAGACTATTCATTAAATTGGGATGTGAGCCACCTTGACATGTGTTCAGCTTGGACACTGAATTTCAGTACATAATCTGTCCTTTTCTATTCTGTTCCTATATGTTGCTTTTGTAATGATGATAAAGCCACCAATCACCAGGGCCCTTGAAAAGTGTTCACTGATTAGGACTTGACCCACTTTCTTTAGAAAACAAAATAAAGAGAATTCACTTTTAAACTTCCTGACAACAGATTTCCTACCCATCTCCTATTCATGCTGTGTTGCCAAAGAGCATTTTTCTTCTACCCACCAGAGATGATTCAAGATTTAAATCCCATCATCATTAAAGGAACTGATAAGGTCCTTTGACTTTATTTATGAGAGAGTCATAGTTAGAAATGATTTCTAGCTGATCTGTATTAGTGTGGCCATGCTGATTATTCAAGTAGAGTCCATCCTGATTACTTGCTGCCCATGTAGTACCAGTTGTGAATAATTTCACTATAGTCATAAAATAAGACAATGCAGAGAAATTTAAAATTTTATTTCTCAATGGACTACAGAATCTACTTTGTCATTCTTTCGGTGAACTTGTTTAAACCTTTATGTGCTCAAAGTTAGCAACCCCTTGAGCCCCACAATTCTTGAAGGTTTCACAATATTGTAGTCCCACATGGCTAGACTGGAGAAAGAATTCTGAGTCAGACTATCTTTACAGAACTTCCTCTTTTGTTGCTTAATTTTAGCATGAAAATGGATCTGTGACTCTTTATCTAAAGGGGAAACTCAGGACTTACATTAAAGAACTGGGAAGAAAGAACAAAATGAAAGAGGTACAGGCAGTATTTTATGGTACCCTGAGCCAAGAGCATGCAAGTGCTGCCAAGAGCTAGAGCTTGGATTTGAAGGGAAGAAAAGGTTGCATTGACCAGTGGGCTTGGAAGAATGCAAGGAATATAATGTTTGATGAGCTTTGGAGGTATTTCAATGGAAAATAGGAAACCGGACCGTAAAGACGTAGATTATGAGTACTTTTCACAGAGAAGGATTAATGGGCTACAGTGCATTGGTAGGAATGTGATTTCAAGACCACTAGCTAGACCACTTTGTCCACACTGATAAGTGTGTAGGGGAGCTAATAAAAACTAAAATGAGACCTGATGGAAAGGACAAGTAGTTCAAGGACCAAACTAAAAAGTTTAGAGTTTATTTTAAAAGTCATAGAGAGCCAATAAAGGTTTTAAACAAAGAGCCTGTGCATTGTTTAGGTTGAAAATTGAGATGTTGGTTATGTCTGGATATCTCAGAGAAAGTGTGGACTCTGTGGCTCAGCATTCCCTCAGCAGCATGAAGTCCTAAGGGCTGTGCATCCATACTGATCACTCACCATGTGCGCACTCTGCTCCCTGTTGTGGGGCATATGAACACAGATGTCCTGCACTATTTAATTATTAGAATGTCAGCCACAGATCCATGAAAAAAACTAAAGGGAAGGAGTAGGTTTTTACATATTTTTAAAAACATCTTCCAATTATACTATTTTCTGGGCATTAATATAAGAACATGAGATAGGCCATCAACAAATTGTACAGCATGATTATTAGTCTAGAAGTGCCAGGTATGGATTCCTGTTATTAAAACATCCTGCCAAGTAATCAGGTAGCCACTGCTCAGTAACCATTTAGTAAATATTTGGAAAGGAAATGGGACAGGGCAGTGGGATGAGTACAGTGTAAGTCCTCCTATAATCCAACCTATACCAGAAACACGTAGAGCCTTTAGAGATAGCACCACCTTACAGTAATAGCAGGAGTTAGAACAAGGGAGATGTGCTATGGTTTGAAGTGGTTCAGCAAGAAGGGCTTAGGAGTTAGGTCAGTAGAGAGACAGCATCGCAGGGCTAAAGACAGGACCATCTGGTATATGGTAGTACAGGTGATGTTAATCAGTAACAGCTAATGGAGATTTATTGAGTAGCCACCGATTGTTCATTGTCTGGTAAAACTTTTAGAGAAAGCTAACACACCTGTCTAACTAGGAACACAAGACACACATATATGAAGAAGAGCATGTTGCATAAAACAGGTGTTCTATAAATACTTTTTGAATATATGAAAATAGTGAGCAGTGAATATGGTCCTCAGTGAATATGGCTGAGGATGCTTGGCTGGGGTTGCAGGGCTGGGTGTTGGTATCAGGCTATAGGTTATAGGAAAAGGTTTCTTGTGAAAGTAATGCTTCATTCAGACCTTAAGGGCAGAGCCATGCAGAGGACTAGAAAGAAGAAAAGAGGACTGCAAGGGGAATGACCCAATGCAGACATCTGGGAAATGTGCTGCATGCATCCAGAGTAGAAGGGGCAGAGAGCCATTCATAAGGGAAGACCCCATAAGCAGAGGGTGGAGAAGGAGCAGCTGAGGTTGAAGCAGACCTCATAGATGTAGGAACCAGGTCCTTACAGAGTCCGAAACAGAAGGAGCTTGGATGAATTCTCCAAAAGAGAAAGTATAGGTTTGGAAGATCAGTTGGTAGAACTGTTTGGGAGGTGAAACCATAACTTCAGGGGCTTAAAAAGAGCAAAATAAACTGATGTTCTTGGAATAAGAGATCTGGTACTCAAGTACCAGGGAAAAGGAAACAAGAGAGAAAAATTCTGAGAGGCTGAGTCTTTTATGAGTGCAGAGATGAGGGGATTGGAGATAGTGACTCAGATGTAAAGTACTCACTGGAAGGAAGGCAGCACCTTTGCTTGTTTGTCTTTATCTCCAGAGCTTGGCACAAAGCCTGGTCTGGATGGAAAGACAGCTGGCCACTTTGGGTTACTCTGGACACCTGGGAAATGGAGGGAGCACAGGACACATCAGTTGCTGGCACTCTTTTCTGGAGGATTCAAAACAGAGTGATCTTGATGTGGCCCTTCTTTCATCTCCTATTCATGTCACTTCATTGCTCCTCGTCCCTCCTTGCAGAGTGCACACTGGCAGCTTTAGTTTTAGGGATGTTAAGACAAATGCTACAATCATCTTGCTTTGATGGCTTTTCTGAACTGGGAATATAAGGAGAGATGTTTTGGCCAGATGAAAAATGACCTTATTTCTAGGTAAAATTTAAATGTATCCCCTTGAGGACTTCTGTGTTTCCTCTTGTCCTCTACCTTGCTTTTCAGCAGAACAGGGATGAAAGGGACACCAAAGCTCTCCAAGGCCTGCCTTAGGATGCACTGCTGGCCCCACGATAGATGTCCCTATGCATCACACACGCCTGCCAGAGACCCCAGAGCTTCCCTCACGTGGGATTTAGGGTCACTGTGAGAAGGCAGTTGCAAGGAAAGGAGGCCTGCTAATAAGGGGGACCAAGCCCCACTTCTACACTAAACCAGAGCCCTGCTGCCCCAGAGCGACTCCTTCTCTCCCCTTCCTTGCACTGAACACGTGTTTGACCAGAACTGCAACATTTCAAACATAAAGCAAGATCTGCCTGGAAATCCTAATTAAAAGTGTTCCGCTCCCAAGTGGCACAGTCACATCCTGCCTAAAGCTTCTGGCCCGCATCCCACCACCCAGAAAACATCCCCCCACTTAACCCCAAACCCTGTACTCCAAGTTTCCACAGGGGACAAAGGAGGAAAAAAAAAGGTGCACATAAGCAGAGGTCAGCCCCCAGGTTCATTAAGGAAAAAGAGCGTGGCTTATTCATCTGTCTTTCACACTTTGATCGCTGGCATGATGATTGTGGTTATGATGAATTACTATGACTGAACAGGAATTGGAGAAGAGAATAAATGCTGGTGCTCTGAAATGACCTGCCCAACTCTGTCATCTGTAACAACCAGTGATAACTCTCTCGTCTTGTAAAAAGGGTTTGTACATAACTTGTACATGGTTTCATTTTTGTATTTTTCGCAAATTAAAAATTTATGTATTTGTGTTCTAAACAAGGAGTGTTTCTTGTGTCTTCATAGCAGTCACATGGCTGTGTGGATATGGGGTGTGGTGGTGGCAAAGTCCCTAGGTTCCCTGTGGGTTGTTCTTGTTCTGTTCTCTTCCCCACACCCTTACTGATGAGGGCAAACTTGTGGGAGGACAGTAGTCATGGGCTTGCCTTCCCCACTGCAAGAAGACTTGGTGCTGCTCAAGAATGTGAAGGGGACTCGGGGAGACGAAGAGCTACTACCATTAGTGCCATGCTGCTGCAGAAGCCTCCAGCAAGCAGGCCTATAAATAAAGAGGTAGTATGTGATAGACATTCAAGAAGCAAGGACGGTCTCACCTCAGCCACCTTCTCTCAAGCTAGTTATCCTTTTCTGCCATCTTCACAAAGAAGAAATGTTGGTTTCCCCTGCTTCTAGCTTGTCAAAACCCAGGACTGTCTGTAGCTGGCTTGATCCAAACACCACCCCTTCCTTCGCGATTACTCCCAAACCCCTGCCTCTGTCACCATGTCTGACCCCTAGTAGGGCCGTGGATGACACTTTTTTTCCAGGCAAAAGAGGAAAGACCTCTTAAATGCTGAAGTTGAGGTCCATGAGTTAGATCTTCAGCTCTAAATCAGAATATATTAAATATAGAACCTATTGGTACTTAATGTCTTCTAGAGATTGTCTCATTGATTCATTAGGCAATTGTTAATGTTCACATCCTCTACTAGGAGCTGGGGATATGCTAACAAGTAATGTCATGACTCCTGCTCCCCAGTCTGGGGAGGGATGGCACCAACGATGAGCAGGTACTAGTCCCGTATGAAAAACTGATCTATAGAAGTAAGTACAGCATGCCACCAGGAAGACATGAGGGGCACTTAGCTATTTGAAGAACAATCCTTTAATTGATTAATACTTTAAAAAAAAAAAAAAAACAACTCCCTTCTAGCTAAGACAATAACAGCCCAAACCAGAACTCACTCCCAGGGGTCAGCAAATGTAGGCTTACCTGTCAGAATGTGCCAGTTCCTGACAGTCCTTTGAGCTCCAGATTCTCCACTTGCCTTCTCCAATATTTGCTAACAAAACTGAATGTTGTTGGGGAATGTGATTGTGGAACATATGGTCCCCATTAGTTAGGCAAACTCCACTGCCAAATTCAGCTCCGAGGAAGGAGCCTGCATGAACGATGAAGTATTAGGGAAAGATTGACAGTGACAGAGAAGGCAAACAGAGAGATGAGACAGCGAGTTACAAAATAGCAGGCTCGGCAAACCCGGCACAATGAGTGGGGAACATATTTTTCTATTTGTTGAGAAAACAAAATATGTGAATTTGTACTAAAATCTCTCTGTAGTAAAAATCAAAGTAGACCATTCACCAAAATCAATGTTAACTGCTTTGCAATGTCACAGAAGATAGATTCTGCCTGGGAGAAAAATGCTGGGGGAACAGAATAGACAGTATGCTAGGGAACAATGCAGAAATGCCTTGTACATGCAAATATGAACTAGGCACTATTTTAAATGTTGCTGGGACTGGGTCTTTGACAGGAGAAATAGGATACCCTGCTTAGCAAGCTTTCACATTCTGAAAATGCCGGCTGAAAGTCAGAGATACAAGGAAACCCAAGATCTGGAAAAGATGTTTGGACAACATGGGAGCATAGGGCATTGTGGGAGAGAAAGCAGCTCCCCAGCCCTGTTCAGCTTCAGAAAAGTCCCAGAGGGAACAGGGCAGTCCCTAAGCACAGACTCAGCCAGGTTCCATGGCTGGCTCTTTCCAGAGGGCTGATGTGGGCCTTCACCCTTCTTCCCACTGTAAGCAAGTCTGTGATGATTATCCTGACCCAGACTTAATTTGACAGATTTTTTTAAAAAGAAATTTGCCTTAATCAGCTCTTTCCAAAAATAACTTAATTTTTGTAGAACCAATAGCTTCTTTCTTGTACTTCTATTTCTTGGTTGACATGCTATTTAATTCAATGGCATAAAAGTCCAAATGTTTAAACTACCATGGGATGGCTAAGCTCAGCTGGTAAAAGCACAGGACATGGTGAAATAAGATGCAGCCTGCAAGACATACAGTTTCTGTGCCCACAGGAAGCTGCAAGCTTGTTCACAAGGAAAGGAGAGAGACACCAGCCAGTCCTGCTAGCTGAGGAGTTGCGCATGGTACAGAGAGATTTGAGTGGAAATGAACTTCAATATCTGTCAATGGGGAGTCAGTGCCATGAATTGATTCATCTATCCCACGGAGTACCAGGCAGCCAATACAAAAGACAAGGTAGATCTAAGTACATCAGGGTTTGGCACACTTTGTCTGAAAGGCCAAAGGCTGCCTGCTTGTTTTTTAAATTAAATTTTATTGAAACCTAGCTATGCCCATTCATTTACATATTGCTTGTGGCTGACTTCCTGCTGCAATAGCAGGATTGAATTGTGACAGAATCTAGAGAACCTATAAAGCATAAAATATTTACTATTTTACTTTTTACAAAAAAATAAGGTTTGCTAACTCTTGATCTATGTTGCATATAGGGAGAAAATAAAATCTAATAGGATCCCATTTGAGTTAAACAATTAGGTATATTTATACCTTTACTAAAATCTGGAGGGAAATAAAGTCAAGTTTTAAACAGTAATTATCAAGGTAAGCAGAAAGCAGAGGGAAAAGGTTTAGAGACTTATGAGGGCCTTTAGCAGTTTATGTTATACATTTCTGTTTTGTTCACGTTTATGTTGATCAAACATGCATGGTTTTTATCATCAGGATAAAGGCTAAAGATACTTCTTTTTAGGAAAATTAATAACAGTCCAAGACTCCACTGATGTAAGTGGCTTTACTAGGATGGGAATCCAGGTCTTCCACAAACTATCCCAGGGCTCTTCATCTCAGAGCTGCCCATGTCCCATGTGGCCTGTATACAGCAGGCAAGCATGAGATAGTGACAGTTTCTTCACTGTTATGAGTTGGCCACAGTTATTGAGGTCTGGACCTCAATTCTACAATGAGTCGTTCTTCCTGTAATCGCATCTCCAGCTCCAACACAGCACCCTCTACACACCTGCTAAAAGAGTCTGTGGGATTGAGCCACCTGACTCTGAGCCTGGGGCTGTGCTCTTCCTCAGGCTCATCCTACCAATCTCACCTGGGACCTGGCCTCATCTTGTTTTGTAGGGTCTTTTTTAATTGAGGTATCTTTCCAAGGAATGATATACCATCCAAGGATCTTTTACCTAACAACTATTAATTAATTCATTATAATAGATCATGCATACCCATGACATACATTTTTAAAGTTATGCAATAAATAAATGGTAAAAGTAAATCTCACCTTTCATTTCTGACTTAGAAACTCAACTCACTTTTCTAGAGACAACCATAGTTAATTGTTTCTTTATCCTCCCAGAAGGACTATATATGTATAAGCATAAATAACCCAAGCATGACATGCTACACACTTTATAACACTTTGCATGCAGTCTAAATGGATTTTCATAACAATATAATATGCAGATTACTTTTATTTATCCATTGATCTTTCTAAGGGCTGTGTAATATTCCTCATAGAAAGTAACTTGTTTAACTTTTTTTCCTCTTACAAAGTTAGGTTGTTTCACTGTTCTACTGTTTTACCTACAGCTTCAGTGAATATCCTGTGCATATATATTTGTGTACAAATGTGAAAGAAATAATAAGATTGATTTCCAGTTGTGAAATTGCCCTGTTACTTTTTAAAAACATTTCAAGTGTATTGGTATCGCCAAGTTATCCCCCAAAGATGGTCCCTTAAATCATAATTCTACCATCATTAAGCCTCTGGCTTTCCACATTCTCTTTGACATGGTATATTATCTAGGATACTTTTTTTGCCCTACTAAAAGTTGACCTTGAGAATTAAAAGTCCAACAGGCAGTTAGTTATAAGTTTGGCTGATTCCACAGCTCAACATCATTGCCAAGAGCCCAGGTACTTTCCCTTTTTGTGTTCTGCTGTTTTATCATGTTGGAAGTGTCTGTGCCCATGCCGAAGGATGGCTACAGTTACGTCAGTGGCCACATGTAGATATAGTAGGTCCTATGAAAACGGAGAAGGTTTTCTCTCAGAGGCCTGTTTATATAATAGAAGAAACATTGTCTAGAGTCACTTGTACACTTCTCTTTCAGGTATCACTGGCCAAGACGGAATTCAATGACCACACTTAAGATAATAACTAGAAAAGATTTTTTTTTTTTTTTGGTACAAGGGACTGAGGGATTAAACCCAGGGGCACTTAATCACTGAGTCTCATGCACAGCCCTTTTATTTTTTTATTTTGAGATAAGGTCTCACTAAGTTGCTTAGGCCTCCTTAAGTTGCTGAGGCTGACTTTGAATTGTGATCCTCCTACCTCAGTCTTCCTAGTCACTGGGATTACAGGTGTGAGCCACTGCACCCAGCAAAAGCATTTAATTGTGTATATTGCATGGACTCTGAGGAATTCCAGTGTATCCATGTTAGATTAGAGATGGAAGCATCTTTTTTATTATGTGGATGGGAGATCATGCAAGCAAAGAATCTTGAAAGGCCATACAATAGGACACCAAATAGTGACCAATCTGAAAAGTTGATTTCATTTTCATTTATATTTCATTTATATTTAAAAATTTAAATTATAGACAAAGTTAAACACATTTTCACATTTTTTGTAGTGAATTTTACCATTTATATATTTCTTATTGAATTTCCAGCATGGTTTATTTGAAAGCCATCCACTTCTTTGTTATTAAATTTCTCTTTAAAATGTCAAAAGTAGCACATGCTCATCAAAAACAGTGAAAATATAAGTAAGCAATTTATACTCCTCTATATTCGCTATTCTTTAAAATTTGAAACTAATGTTAACATATGAAAATATGTAAAAATATGAGGAAAAATGTTTAACAACCTTTTGGCAAAATTTAAAGAGCTCACACTATAAGCATGAATTGCA